ATGATGTTTATGTAAATTTGAGGCACTGTTAAAAACCTTTGAGTCTCTGACCATTTGCCTGCATGTGATACAGACTTCCCCCTAATGCCTACTCGCCTGTCCAAACTCCAAAAGCTCCTCAAGGTGAGAACGGTTTTTCTTCAGAGGCTGGTATGATATGCGTTTTTTCCATTGACAAACAACTGCAGTATTGCACATGCTTTTGTTCACCTTTTTCCTGTTTTATACTAGAAGTTAAGCTGAGGGACAGGAAGGAGGAAGGACAGAGGTCACCTCTTTTCCTTAAAAACTCCCTAACTCTAACGTGGATCCTGCCTCCCAGTTAATAATAATTTTTAATGTTGGACCAAATCATTCTAAAGAAAGCATTTGCCTTAAAGGCTTGTAAGTTTAGAGTGAAGTTTCCATGGCAAGTGTAAACCGAGAGTTGCACTTCCTTAGCTACAATGCTTCCCTTTTAATTTTGAGAACTGCGCTAGATAGCTGTGCACTTTCATAAGTCTGGCTCTGTGCAGCCCTGTGTTCCTCCACCTCTCACCTCTTTAATGACAATGAAAAAGATGCTCATTTTGGTCTCAAAGTAACAATGTTAGAAAGAAAATGAGTCCATCTCATTGTTTGTTTCTTTCCTGGTATTATTTCACTGCAATTTATGAGATGACACCAGCAGTTTATCCTCTTTTCTGCTCTGGAAGATAGTTTACCCCAGACTCCTGGATGAATAAGCTATAGAGATATCCTTCCTAGTGCTTGAGAACAATAAGGTCTATGACAAAGGAGGGTGAGCTATTCCCATCTGTGAGAGGAGTTGCATAGGGAATTGAGATGATAGCCTTGAGGGAGAAGAGCCACTCCATTCATTCATACCAGGAATTTCTACAACAGACCAACTAGTGGGGTGTCCACAGTGAGTTTCCCGTGTTGAATTATATATACAGAAATCTCTTGCATCTGCTTCGCCTAAATTAATCTGTTCCGCAATGACATTCCAGCCCAACGCCTTTCTCCAGGAGATGATAAATGACTATTCATCCAATCCATGTCTCTTCAACAACTCAAACTTCTTCTTTTCATTATTGTATGTCAAACTGTGGCCGTGAGTTTTTGGTGATGCTGCTACATCAGTGTTGTCCATAAGGACAGTCCCCAAAAAAGGAATGTAGCCATGGATAATAATGCCTGACCTTAAGGAAATGTTTCTTCATTTTCTCCTACATTTCATCTGGATGAAAGAATGGTCAAGAGAAGCTTTCCCTGGAATACAACCTGGAGGCACGTCAGACAGAGTTTGATCAATTTGCCTCAGTATATTCCCTTTCCAAGCACTTCCACATCTTCTAGTCTTCAGCCGGAGCTCTCTTTAGCTAAGCTCTTTATTAGATTTTACCCAGAGGTTATTTTCTTCCATTTCAGACATGAAAGCAGTTGCTGTTGCCTACTGCGAGTTTCACACAATTGTGAAACTTTGAAATCTATGGCATTTAACTAACTTAAAGTTGGTGTTATGCAGCAGTGATTCATATCCAGTGAGTCAAAATGGAATGTCTCATGCTGTAAGCAGCTGCCCATTGAAGGGAGATCTTGTTTGTGCCCTCCGCCTAAGAACCAGAACAGAGGCTGTGCGAACTTTTCAAAGGATTTGTAATCAGCTGTTACAACATTTTTTCCCCATTGGTTAGAAGCAGTACACAGGCAACTTCAGTATTGCTTGGGGCAGATGAATCTTTTCCAGTTCCATACAGAAATGGCAGAAAAAGGAACTGATGTTTTGGTCCAAGAGACCTATTTTACAGGGATTACACTTTCCTCCTGATTGGCTCCTCTACGTCCTGCCTCTCGAGGAGTACAAGGTTCACAACAGAAACAGTCTGGGCACTATGAGATCATGCCATTTGGCAGATGAATTGGGTGTTGCACCCTGGGCCTGTCCATGGATGAACAAAAAAATCTCTTCCTTGAAAATAATGTGCTTTCTCAGTACCCAGCTCATACTACAGAGGAATCATCCTTGGGAACTACAAACTACCTCCAACTTCCACACCTTCCACTTCATGACTTTTCCATTAGAAGTACACAGAAATACACAGGTGTGGTAAAAAAACCTCAAACCACCCTTTCTAAAAGAATGAACGTCAGTGCACAGCCATTTCCCTTGTGGAGAGGAGAAAGAGCAAACAACAGATGTGAGTCATGTTGCTTAGCACTCTGGAGAGCATTCAAATGTGCTGTGACTAGTGTGCTATATGGACTTATATGGAATAGTTTCAGTTACACTCGAGGAACTACAAATTCCTTCTGAGCACTCAAGGCAAGAAATTTAATGACAGTTTAATGTCATGTTGAAAAATGCCCACTTACAAAGAAGAAATAAAAATACAATGGTTTTGGAAAGAAATTGTGGAAAAGGGACAGTCATTCTAGAATTAGGACTACACTAAATATTGCCATTTTAAATCTAACTTTTCGTCAGCACAGAAAAGCCTTCTTATACACAAACAGCAGTGCCTTAATGTGAAATAGATTTTTTCTAGAGCTAGAGTTATTTTTCAGAATAATTCTGAAGCAGTTCTAAAAATACAGCTGTGTGACACTACCTTAAACACCTTAATCTGCAAACATTCTGGAGGATTTTTTTTGTTTTCATAAAATTAAGTTCGGTCATCTGAGAGGTTTGAGGTGAAGGAAGTGACATTTCTCCTTAGCTCATAAGTTCCCCAAGATTTCTGGTCAAAGTCCTTGCTTAGAGATTACATAATCCCCCCCATGCCCCCCAAGTCTGTGAACATGGAAGGATTGTCCTTGGCCCACACTGCCTTCCCCAGTCTCATGCCATCTACACGTCAAGCCCATAGAGCTTGTCCTGGGTACAGCCTCATTCATTTCTAGAAAAGTGCTCCTCAAAGGAGAAAGACCTCTCCTTAGTAGAAAGAACAGAAAACACTGTTTTCTTGAAACAGACAAGACAGATGCTCTCTCTTATGTGTACTGGGGACGACTTCTTGCTACAACGCAGCAATTTTGTTAGCATGAGATGAGGTGGCCAGGCCACCAAAGAAAAACTGTGGCCCTGAGATTATTGAGGAACGCCAGGTACAGCCTCTATTGTAAAACTTCTGTCACCTGTAAGAAGACTGCTTTCCAGCTCATTTCAACCTACCTGAGAGAGGAATTAAGGATCTTCCCTTACATAACTCTCTTAATGCTGACATGAAATTGAAGGCACATACTTATAGTCTGAAAACATATTACAGGTCAAAAGCTTTTTGTAACAAAATGCAATACCCAAATGACAGAGGCAGTAAATATACAGTGAAGGCTGTATGCCAAAGCACCCTAATCCTGTTCTACAACAAAATACAAAGACATGTCAGCTCCTCCATCTCCTGGGACAATGTGCTGACAAATGACCATAGAGATGAGAAGGCTTCAAACACTATCTTCATCTTCCATACATTTCCTGTCCCCCAGAGATACATTAGGACAGGGCACATATACATTGTTTTTCAGCCTGATACATTTTTGGTCAAGAATTTGTAAGCAGATCAATCTCAGATCTCAGTGTTGGATTTTTCCAGTTGCTGGAGAAAAGCAGAGATTTCAAAAGCATCTCACTTCTGCAGTGAGACCTAGATGCCTAAGTCTACATTAAAACTCTTATAAAACCAATGAATATTTCATCTGAATCTTGAGCCATCTTTAGGCTCACAATAACCTTGAAAAACTCCCTGCCCGATGAATGACAGGAGTGCTTACCTGCCTTCAGTCTTGAAACACACGAGTTAATTGATCCTTTTTGAGAAAGGCAGAAAGGAAACTCATCTCACACATGGAATTTGTATGCCAAGTACTTGCCCTCTGTTATTCCCAGACTTTTGGTGCCCAAGCTGTGCTGTGGAGAATCTCACAACCCAATCATCCTTTACTATTTTTTAAAAAATAGATAGATGCACGTTTTTATGCTGCTCTCTTCATAGCCATAGAGATAGTAATTTGGGAATACACCACCATTCATCAAGAAATTAGAGCACTTGCCTAAAAAAATAAAAGCCTATAGTGACATAAAAACCCTTTCTGGCATCTACTGCACACAGACAATCTATTAAGCCAAAATAACAGTATGCTCTGTTGCACATTTACAATAGTTGTCAGGCAAGAGACAAGAAGAAGAAAGAAAAAGGTTTTTATACAGGGTAGAAACAGACACTTGGATAGTATAAAAACAAGGACTGTAAGTGTTTCAAAAATCAAACACAGTTCAAATGATGTGTTTGCGAAATACACCTTGACTCTTAATTCTCTGGGCTACCAGTGTTTGGTTTTGGTTTGTTTGGTTTTATTCACCTCCCACATTCCTGAGTGACAATATCTTCTGAAAGCATAAAGGATGTGTGCAACTGCTGCTTTACTGTTGGTTATACACTGTACTTACAATGATATAGGCAGGGCAACCTCAAAAAGCAGAGTGATCAGTGTCCAACAGTGATGATTAAGGGTGAGACAGCTGTATACAGTGTGTGGAAGAGGCAGAGAGACAGCATTACAGGAGCTCTGGAAGCAGTGGGAAAGCCCAGACACAAACTACCAGCCTATTAGATAGGCATTGGTGCTGCTGCATAACAGGACACAGTAAGCCACCAATGCAGAATGAAAAAAGAAGGCGGTGGGCTGTCCAGGACCGCTTTTTGACTCCACTTGCTTTTATCCTTGCATTGTCTGAGCTGCACAGAAAGGCAGAGTCTGGAGTGGCCTAAATATGAGATTTATGCATTTATATGCATAGAAATTCAGCAGACCCGCTTCTTCAAGATGTGCCATATGTGCATACAAATCTATGCACACTTAGATCTCAGTCTCTGATTCCAAACCAAAACTTGGTTGCTGGATTTAAACCCAAGGGGAAGCACAAGCATACAACACAGAGGAACTAGGCAAGAGAAAGACAAGCAGATCTTTTCCAAGTTATTGCCAATGACTACATGGTGCTGTGAAGTCATGTTGTGGCAATACCACAACAGCAAGGTCAATGGAGGCCAAAAGGAGTGTGCAGGCACTCTTCTAGAAGCACCTACACATCTTTGTTCTATTCCGATAGTCTCTCTGGTTCTGCTTGCCTGGCATTTATCATAGATTGCACCTGGGCAAAAGGAAAAGGAAAAGAGTCATTTGGGACCTTATTTGCTTTCACACTGATGCTCAGAACTGACATTGCCATTCCGCTGGAATTTTTGTTCTTGGTATACCATGAACCCAGTAGCAAACCTCAAAGATGGTGCCTCTCCTGACTAACTAGAGGGCAATGAAAGAAGACACTCTTTTCCTCTGTCTGCTTTCTTCTAACCTCTTTCTTCTCCCAAGAAGCAATCCCCACTTCTAATTCACTCCCAAACTATTGTCTCACTTCACTGACTTTGAATTACCTGTGTTTTAATACCCTGCAGGATCAGCAGAGACAGCTCTCTAGAGAAGCAGCTAGAGAAGGGTCACAGAGATCTCTGCCATGAAGCTTCCCTCACCTCTCAGGTAATTCCAGGGCACATTCACCCCATTTTTTCCCCCACTCTCCCAAACTTTTCCTCCTTCTCAGAGCACACATGGTCGCTTGCATGCCAGACACTCTACTACTGCCTATGCTTTTCCTCCTCCAAAGACAACAGACATACAGTCAAAGAAAGAGTCCCAGGCTGATCGTGATTCCGGTGTGCTCAGCAAAGCTAACCCCATCCCCACAGAGCCCCAGCAAGGCACCCTACCTCCTGCAATATGAACTGCAAGGGGTCATCAGGCTTTTGGACCAGCAGTTTTTCTGTGATATCCTGAGACAGAGAGAGACAGAAGGAAAGAATTATTGATCCTTGGATAGACAGGTGCCTGCACTTCCTGTTCCAACACCATCTGAATTTTAAAAAGGCAAGAATCTCTTCAGACACCAAAGATCCGTTTCTACTGCTTTTTCTTAAGAAAGCACAGGACAAGGAGGGGTCTGGGAAAGGGATAATTTGGCTCAAGCTAACTTCAGGCCAAATTTCTCATGTAAGCCTCTGGAAGGAGATGAGAAATACATATTTCACCTGAAATATCTGTAGAATTTTATGTTCCTCCACATAATTCATTGCAACTTGATAGGGGTCTCCAAAAGCTTCTGGATTCTCCAATGATTCAAATGTAATCTCTGCTGCTGACAAGACAGTCTCAATAGTGTTACTGCCATCCTGTGTAGATTCAGAGGTGTACATCTTAACTTTGAAACCTGGAAGTTCACATAAAGGTAATTTGATCTCAGGTGAGCTTTCCCTGGATGCAGACTATGCAATGAGCAGGAAGTGGTGCTCAGAACGTGGTGGTTTCTTGACAGCCAGCTGGTCTGCAGACACTGGGAATTCTACTACAGATGGCTGGGCTGCAGATACTGGTGCTTCCACGCCAGGTAAGTCATCCAGTGATGGTGGGGATTCAACTATAGTTGTGTGGTCCTCAGGTGGTTCAGCAGCTGGTGGTATGCAGCTTCCTCCACTTCAGATTCTGAATGATCATTGAACCCTTGCTACAATATTTAGCAGATAAAGAACAAGAGTATTTTAAACATCTATCTCCACAGACTAGACACAGCACATTACTCCATCCTCTACAAATGTGCTGCAGCCACACTTAAAGCATGCACTAATAGGGTTTATTTCTGTGATTGGTCCCACCTGCACCTTCTGCATAATCACAGGAACTCAAGCTCTGGCCTAGGCCTTCAGAACTGGTCTGAGCTATGCAGCAGTTGTATTTGTGCCCGATCCTCACTTACTGACTAGTTTTCCTAGGGTGACTCTGGGTGTATATTCTAGGTAGCTTTGTCTCTATGGAAGTCCCCTGGATGGATCCCAGACCCGGCTCATGACCTTTCCTTGCCTGCTACTGTTGGTGAGCCCTCTTATGTGCACACTGTGGCTGCCCTCAACTCCTGCCTCATTTCCGTCTTTGTACAGCTCCGCGTTGGCTCCCTGACAGAAGTAGCAGCAGAAATTTGTGCAGGCTTTACCCATCTACCCGTTGAGCAGCTGGCTGTGGACTGTGCTGTATCTTTGCCACACACTCCCATCCTTAGACCCGTGACTGAGTGCGGGCAGTCCTGCCCTGTTTCTTCCTCGCATCCCGAGTCCCAGTTGCTGCGATGTTGCCTGAAGCGGGGCGCTGGGGGAGGACCGAGGGGGAGCAGGACCTGCGCTCATCCCCCTGGAACTAGGAATAAGGGTGTTGTTCCTGGGGACAACGGGTTGTTGATAACGGGGTTCGCTTCGTGCAGAAGGGAGGCGGTGGGAGGCCGGGCTGGGGCGCTCGGGGGTACAGGGGGGTCGTGCAGCCAGGGAAGCAGGGGGAGCCGTTCCAGGCCGGAGCCCTCCCTCACCTGTCCCCGGCTCTGCAGGGAAGTGCAGGGAGCTCTTCGCCCCCCGCCGGCACCGGCTCTTTATGCTGCTCGCCGCTTGCCGTAGCCGAAGGTGGGGAATGGGCGCGGGAAGTCGCGACGGTTGCCGCGGTAACCGCCGTCAGGTGTTCGGCGGGCGGTGCCGCCAGTATCACGCTGGCGTTGAGTGCCGTGCGGCCATTTTGGGTGAGGGTGGAATTGCAGGGTGGGGGCGGGGCGAATCCCACCCCGGAGTTAATCGGTGGGAAAAGACATCCCAGATTGTTATAAATGAGAGACAAAAGTCTCGATATTCAGCAAAATTTTAGATTGCTTTATTTGATATAGAAAGAGCAAGCAGCGCGCTGGGAAACGTGAGGGGTCAGCGCCCACTCCACGCTCCACCGAACCTTGGTTTGCAGCCTCTTCTTATACTGTGGGTTCTCGTTTTTCACAAATTCACAAAGCCTTTGGGTGATTATTAGTCACAGATAGCCATCCGGTCCTTGTAGATGACCACCAGGGAAGTTCTGGAGGTCTGGTTTTTGGGATAGGCAGTATTGATTAGACAAAGGTACGAAGGGCTTTTTGGGAAGTCCGATTTCGCAAGCTGGTAGCCAATACAACTTATTTGAAAAACATAACATAATATAAGGTAATGTAACATAATACAACATAATATAAAAAGGTGATTTTAAACAGAATTATTTAATCATATAATTTCCTTTATCTAGTGTCCATGCTTCACTTCAGAGCTTAGTATTCTGGTTTATGCAAACCCCAATGCTTTTGTGATTAACACGAATCCCTTTTATCAATTGTCACACAGATCAACGAGTCCAGGCGATGACCGAGCGCCACTATGGCAGCTGGACCATGGCAATAAGTGCCATGTCCAGTCTTTGCTTAAACATGTCCGGGGATGGTGACTCCACCACCTCCCTGGGCAGCCCATTGCAATGTTTTATCACGTTTTCTGTGAAGACATTCTTCTTGATGTCCAATCTAAACCTCTGCTGGTGCAGCTTGAAACTCTTGCCCTATCACTGGTTGTCTGGCAGAAGATACCAACCCCCACCTGGCTACAATCTGTTTACGGGTGGTTGTAGAGAGTGATAAGGTTCCCCCCGAGTCTCCTTTCGTCCAGGATAAGCATCCCCCCAGTTCCCTCAGCCGCTCACTGTAGGACTTGTGCTCCAAACCCTTCTCCAGCGCCATTGCCCTTCTTTGGACTCACTCCAGCACCTCAATGTCTTGTAGTGAAGGGACCCAGAAGTGGACTCAATTCAGAAGAGATAGGATTTCAGGTGTGGCCACCCCAGTGCTGAGTATAGGGGGACAATCACTGCCCTGGTCCTGCTGCTCACACAATTCCTGATAGAGGAATTGTACAGGCTGGGATGTCACTGGTGGTGGTGCCTGACACAGGCCCTGGTCCTGGCTCTGGTTCTGGTCTTGGTTCTAGTTCTGGTCTCGGTCCTGGAAAAGGACATGTCAAATAGCTTGTACAGGGAAGCAGGGAAGCAAGAGCTAGGGTAGTAGAATGCAGAAGGAAATATTTTCATGTACATTGATGTGAGAAGTACTTTTTCCTGTCCTCAGTTTTACACAGATCCAGACAGTTGGTGTTCTGTGTGATGAACTTAGTCAGAAAAAACAAATAAATAGACTGCCAGTTTTCCCCAAAGAGGAGATGAAAGGATAAAGACAAAAGCTGTGCTGGGTTACCACAGGAACCAGCTTCTGACATATTCTGGCTCATGCTCCAGTCTGACAAAAGCTGGGTTTGAAACAACTGGCTGAAACTGCCATAGGGGCTTATGGAGATGAGAAGAGGGGAGATATAGGACTTCATAAGCTATTCTAAACTTACAGATGTCACTTCCATTCAGAGCAGTTCACTTCGTGTGTGTTTTTCAGGTTATGCCATTGGCCTTTTAAGAGAAACAGCTGCCTCACTGCTCCAGTACCAGGTTCATGACAGTGCTATCCATGTCCTCAGCAACGCTGACCACTCAGATCATCTTGCACTGGAGCACTGCTGTTTACACTCATGAGATGCCAGGATGCCCTCTCTGATCCCTTCTTGCATCTCCCATTTCTCCATGTGACAGTTATGATTCCAGACAGCATGGGACTGCTGGCTTTTTGTAACTGCTGATACAGTTTTATCTGAAAGAGGCATCTTGGTATCAGTTGTGTATTAAGATGGTTGTGTGCTGAATCATCCCAGTGCTTTGTTCTCCACAGCATGACTCCCGGCAGGACTTCTCCCATGGGTTTCTCCTCAGTTCTCAGCTGCCTGCTGCCTTCAAATAGTGTCATGCTGTGGGTAAATCTCGAGCCCCATGTGTTCCTTTCATCTGTGCCCATTGGTAAACAGCAGATCTTTCCATTTCCAACCCCACTGCTTACTGCAGGGATCTGGCGGCTTGGTCTGGAAAGCTAGGATTTTGCACAGGGAAGTAAGATGAATGACGCTATTAAATAAACATCTGCTATTAAATAAACTGCTCTGTTTATTCTTTGAAAAGAACAGATTTAAAAAAGCAGAAGATGCATTTTAAATGCATTAAAAATTCAGAGCAAAAGAATGCCTTAAATATAATGCTCATGTAAGATAAATCACATGGCTTTTTTCTACACAGGCACATGGAAAGCAGAAACATATTATTATATTACTATTTATATGGCACCATATGCTAAGTCTGGAACTTAAACACTTTGAAATAAATAAGAAAACACCAGCTGCAGATTAGCAATACACTCCTTTATTGGGAGTCACTGTGTAACTGTGGCTATCATTCCTGCTGTTAAGCTAAAACTTAAATAAATTGTCAGAGAAATAAGATAGACATTAGAGTTTCAGTGTCTGTCTCCTGGGGACGCTTTTTCTAACAGCTGTAACGAAGACCTGCTGCTGGCTTTGTGTTATCTTTGTAGTAACTCACTGCATTTGTCCCTGCAGTATCACACAGTTCAGTAGAGATGGTTGAGCTGCTCACTATAAATAATGTTGGTTAACAATGCAGCCCCTTTTGGGTTAATAAATTATGCTCAAACCACTCTTGAGCCTCTTTGATTGGTTTCTTCCAAGTCTGCAGTGGAGAGTTGCAAGAAATCACTTTCCACATTTTCCAATATTTTTTTGAATATTCCTTCTTATTTTATTTAGCTGTAAATATACATATATAATAGCCAAATCCTGAAAACACCTATCTCAAATTCCAGTCGCCTCATCCGCTACTTGAAAATTTTAATGAGATGCATGGGATGAAACATATAAACAAATTTAAATGTCATTGCTTAAAGGGGTAGAAGGCCTTGGTCAGCACTATGTTGGGCGATTTGTCCTCCTCCTTTGTGCGGGATTTGCTGTCAGAAGCTGGGGTTTCCCTCAGGCTGAGGTTGGTGGCTGGAGCAGGGAGCTCACCTGCCTTATGATCCATGAGCTGTGGCAGGCCAGTCAATAGCCACAGCTGGGGCCTGGCGGTTCTCTGCATGCTGCTGTCTCAAAAGTCTCTGACCTTTGGTTTTGCCCAGCTGCAGCCAGACATAGTTAAAGCCTTCCTGAGCTCTGGTGAACAAAGTGCAGCTTTAGGTCACGCAACAATGATCAAAAAAACCCCAGACTGTGAGGCAGAGGCTTGGAGTGCGTGGAGAGACATCTCTGCTCATCTCCGTGTCCTCACTGGTGACTCTGTGGAGGTTATGAGGCTGCCCTGCACTTTGGTTCCTTATCTCAGTGGCGGATTAATTGTTCTGCTCTCGATCCAGAGAGTTTTTGAGAAGAAAACAGGCTGGGAGGAGAGCAGGTCTTAGTGCAAGAGAGTGGAGAACGCCAGCTCCTGTGTGAGGTAGCGGGCTGGGGTGCAAGGGGAAGAGAGGTGGCTGGGGCTGTTGCTTTGCATCCAGACTGCTCCTGTACCAGAATACGTTGATGTGGGTGTGCTTCTGGCAGCCATGATGAAGAGGAGGCTATACCCAGATGTCTGCGCTTGTACAGGTGGCTCTGAGTGTTTGTGTGCTGGCAAATGCAGCTTTTCCCCTAGCACTTCCGCAGCTCGGGCTCTGCCCACATTTCCCAGCAGAGAGCAGCAGAGCCTTGTAGCTGCTCGCCGGGCCTCGGAGTGCGGCAGCCT